TGTCTCTCAAACAGATAGTATAAACACCAATAACCACATAGAACAGTATTGCGATTTTGTATTTCATCTGTTGAGTAAACTATGCGCTTTTTAGCTGTATTAAAATACTCCAGTACTTCATTTGGCATTATTAGTCCAAATGGATCAAAGTACTCAACTACATTGTCTATATTTCTATAACAAACCCAGTGTGTTCCAGGACCTGTTATATCATCTAGATTGATTATTCCACATTCTTTTTTTATCTTATAAGGTAGTCCATCGCGACTAAATATTCCTCTGAAATGTTTAATACCAAGTCTTTTTATCCATTCCATGAGGTCAAAGTTGGATAGAGGTTTAATTACAAAATTGTTCCGAGAATTGGAATTGAGTTGAATGGGCTGTTTTTTCCTAGTAGTAGTCCTTTCCCTTTGGACTTTTTTTTTTAACTCCCATTCCAATTGGGTTTTCCCATGTACCGATAAAGGGTGGTGGGTAATAAGGATAACCTTCACCATGTGTTGGTGGTGGAGGAGGATGTGGAACGGATACATTTGCTGTATTAGATGATCCTCGTCTATCAACCTGCAGTCCAGATTCAAACATCTTAGATACCAAACTAATTGCCATTGGAATACCAATAGAAGCAAGAGTACCTAAAAATCCTCCTTCTATCTGTTTACGAGTTGGTTTAATAACCACTTGTCCTCCTGTTTGATAAGCTTTGTTAATTTGATTTATTTGTGATTTGGTAAATTCTCTTACAAGAGGTGGTAACATTGGGAAAAATTGTGGGGGAATTGTGACTCCTTTTCCAAATATTTTATTTAGACCAATTTCTCCAAGTGCAGTAGCAGCACCAGTAGCCAATGCAGGAACAGCTTTCGAAATTCCTTTTATTGCCTATGGTAGTACTCGCGCTCCAAGAGAAGCAAGTGAAGAAAATAAGTTTCCTCCATGTTTTACAGAACGTCTAATCTGTGTTTTACTTATTTTTATATCTGATCCTGTTCCATTTGAAATAGATTTTTTTATTTTAGAAATTTGTCTTTGAGTAAGCATTAACTCATCAGAACCTCTAAGATGAGAATGTTTTAACCGAAGAGTTAGTGGTGATTTATTTAATATTGCAGAAGCCAGTTTTGACTTTTGTCCATCTGTAAGTGTTACTCCGTATTCAAAATAAGTAGTCATTTTATTTTAATATTTAGATTATATTAAATATGTTCATTATATTTTTTTAAAGTATTTTTAATAATTGTATCTTGTTTGTTTTTCAAATACTTTAATTTTTTTGCTTTCTTAGCATTTTCTGTTTTT